TATTTTTTGATGGAATCTTTCCAAAATGTATTTTACAAATCCCCGCCTTCTTAAACAGATGATACTGAGCATATTTTGCCCTTCTCTGAGTGACCGGAGCTAATATAAACATCACTTATTATCCAGGGGAGGCGATGGCCTGGGGGTGGGGGGACGCATGACAGTCCCTGCACCTCGGTGATAAATGGCTCAGACTCTTTGGGTTTTATTATTTTTCCTGATTTCTTTTTTGGTTCTTGCGTTTCTCCCAGACGTCAGCTGGCTTTCTTTGCTGGTGTATGGTCTAGCCGGAGCAAACCTCTTCTCCTGTTTAGTTAGCTGTTTTCCTTCTGTCAGGAATTGGGAAACTGGATAAATAGCCTTATTAGAAATTGTGTGTAAATTTGCAGGTAGGGAAAAGGCCTTTATAGGAGAGTCAGTTCATTTTCAAGGCCAGAATTTTTAACTGTGATATGGTCTTGTTCCAAAGCTTTTAAAAATCTTCTGGGTTCTGAGAAGTTGAGGCTGCTCTAGGCCTGATAGTTGAAAAAGCAGGTAGTATCATTACTGTGATAGTCAAAGATTCATGGCCTATGTCATTCATTGGGACTCTTGACTCCAACAGTAAATGAAGCTTTGGAGTTTTAGTAGCCTGAGTGGTGTTAATAAAATGTCTTATCTCATCCTTTATCACAGTGGAAGGACCCAAAGGCAGCTTTTGGAATATGGAAAGAAAGGGAGGTTGAGGAGCTTGCCATTTGAGAGGTACATGGTTTTCTCTCTCTCTTTCTCTCTCTCTCTCTCATGTTCATTTTAAGCTGAATGTAGAGATTTCTATGTATTCTGTATGTGCTTGCAGACCATTTCAATTCCTTCTCTGTTTGCGGATTGCAGGAAACATTACCCATCTCAGTACCATGAGCGACAATGCAGGTCCTCACCGGACCTCCTCTCTGATGTGTCAAAACAAGTAAGGTTTCTGAAAATCCCTTCTTCTTTAGATAAATGTACTGCATCTACATGTCAAATGCTTTTAAGAATTGATTCTGCCAGAATGTCCCGGTGTGTAAAAAGGCGACTCTGTTTGAGTTAGGCTAGCCTCCTCAGGAGGTCTGTCAGCTCAGTCTTTCCAGCCAATAGAAGACCATTTAATAAATCACCACTGGTGTGTACCTTATGGACTGAAAGGATCTGGCGCATCTCTAAATTGCAGCTTGTATTGCTAACATCGTGCAAAATGCAGATCCAAATGAATTTCTAAAACTAAAAACTCCTTTTTTTTTTTTTTTTTTTACCTAATGAAAAATTTTAAGGCTTAGAGGAAGCTCCAAGGTCTTGGGTTAACGTTTTAAAGTACTCTTGCTGTGTAATTTTGTCACTTAATTCAAGAACAAAGTGCTATTCTCCTGGAATCATGAGATGATGGCTTCATTTGAGTTTTATAAGCATTAACCATGGTAATTATTTTGCTTTTGCTCTCCCTAAAAAAAAAAAAATAATAATTATAGGTCTCACAAACTCTCATGTCTTCATTCAAATCATAGGCAGTTTTTATTTCAAAGGCGTCACAGAGGTATAATGCTGGAAGGTGCCACTAACATGTGACCCTCTCATGCATAGCCCTCCTTCCCACCATTTTACAGAGAATAGGGAGGAGGCTGGAGCAGGGAGGTTAGGAGACCCACCTAAGGTCACACAGCAGAGCCAGAACCAGAAGGCAGAACCCCTGGCTCATTTATAAATGAGCTACTAAACCATACCGCCTGAAGTCCCACGCCGGCTGAAGAACATGGAGAACTCAGAGGCAGGGAATGGGATGCGGTGAGAAAAGAGACTGTCGTGTGTATTTTTTAGCACATGGATTGGGATATGGTACAAGGTATTTCCCATTCTGTATCCATTCATCAGCCTTGGAATAGAATATGGATCGATATGACCTTGTGAAAAATACCTTTGTGAAATTCAAGGCGTTTAGATCCCTGCCCCCACGCCAACCAAATGGCTTTTCCCTTCTTTCACCAACATGTCCTCTCTTGCAAGGTGGAAGATTTGAGACTAGCGTACGGCGGTGGGTATTACCGAAATGTGAATGGAGTACATGCATCGGAGCCGGTGCTAGACCACAGGAGGAGAAACTCAGCAGTGGAGGTGACGTTTGCAGCCGAGCTGGAGCGTTCCAAACCAGAGGCGGATCCCACACTGTTACATCAGTCCCAAAGCAGTTCCTCTTTCCCTTTTATTTATACAGACCCTGTCTTTAGCACTGACCCGGATCCCAGAGACTACTTTGAGGAAAGGAGTCCTCTGAGCTCCTTCCAACCAAGCTGTAAGTTTGCTGACAATCACATGAGCGCATCTTCTGGCCTTGCAAGCAAAGTGAGTCCAGCAAGGCAGCTAACTTACACAGATGTGCCCTATATTCCTTGTACTGGTCAGCAGGTCGATATTATGCCTCCCCAAGTCTTTTTTTATGTGGACAGACCACCCCAGGTGCCCAAACGGTCCCCAGTCATGGCAGAGGAAAGGGAAAGGCCAGACAGCTGTCTAGAGCCCGCTGCAATGAAGCCAGCCAAAAGAAGCCCAAGGAAGGTCAGAATGAAGAGCTTTCAGCAAGACTTTCAAGAACTCCAAGAAGCTATGGCCAGGACTAGTGGTAGGAGCAACATCAATGTAGATCTGGAAGCGGAAGACCCAAATTTAGAAGATGCATTTGCATATAGCATTCAAGAGCAAACCCCGAAACGATCCCAGAGCCAATCAGACATGAAAACAATCCGTTTTCGTTTTGGGTCCGAATTTAGACCTTTAGGGCCTTGTCCTACTCTGAGTCGTAAAGCTGACCTTTTTACATATATGTTTGCAGAGCAGGAGTTTCCAACAGTTTTAGTGGATCAGGGAGCAGCAGAAAGGTATGTAACTAGTGAATCCAGTGATTCAGAATCAGAAATTCTTAAACCAGACTACTACTCTTTGTATGGCAAAGGAACAAGGTCACCCATGGCCAGAATCCGCTTATCTTCTGGTAGTCTACAGCTTGATGAAGAGGATGAAGGTGTTTCTTTCAATACGCCAACTGCCGAAGACAGGACTTTGCTAAAACCATGTAATTACTTTTTAGCTTAAAAGTGTGAACTCAGTGAACATTTCTGGGCCAGTTCCATGTTGCCCACTTAGGTAAAATATAAGGAACGTTCTGCACAAACCATTTTCTTAGTTATCATTCATTGGTATTAAGGGGATCTCCTACTTTTGGGCACCTAGCTTATTAAAGATCCAGCTGCTGCCTCGTTCCTCAAGCTCCCCTCCTCAGTTTCCTCTGAAGGGACTCTGGAACATACCCTTTCCTCACCAGCACCGTGGTCGGGCAAGGTGGCTACTTGTCATCTCCGTTATACGTTTCCCCATAGAGACATTATCGATGAAGTTCAGGCTCTTCAACACTGAATAATGGTGACAGTATGGGTTGGCATAGCATTGGCCTCTGATGTCCTTTAGTGATTTGGTAGATTGTGACTGTGTTGGTCATTTTGTTCTTAAGCCATACTGTGACTAAAGGTTCCAGTAAAAATGGTCCTGTCGTGTGTTAAAGACTTCAATTTTTATAACATTTATTAGGGGGAGCATGGCCCTCCTATACCTCAGGAACAAGTTGGTGGCATAGATCCTCTCATCAGAATACAAGTTTTTAATGCATCTAGGACTTGGAAGAATTCCAAACCTTGAAAATTCATGAATTAATCCATTTCTAAAGCCAGATATATGCCCGATGAAGATATTATGACTTTTGACTTACTACTTCTGTACTCTTAACTATTATATGTAGTGACAGATAAAAATTAACATGTTGGTTTATCTACTTTCTCCTGCAAGACTTTATTTTTTTGCCGTCTCTTGTTGCATGTATGTAGGCAAGGAAATGAGATGAATGGTATTTTAATAAAGAGTGATGGAAATCCATTTATTTAAAAAAAGAAGTTGCAAGTATGATCTTTTGTTTTAGTCAACTTCAGAAATGATTGGTTCTGGTCTATTACCAAGGGAAGGGACAGTTAAAGAATAAGAAAAAGGAAGGAGGCAGGGGAAAATGTAGAGTCAGGGAGGGAGAAGTGGTAGAGCTGGGGTAGCTGATGAGAAGACGGATAGTGCTAAAACCAGACTGAGTTCAGGAACCAAGAGTCTATTCTTGAGAGAATGAGTGAGGGAGCAGCAGCAGAGGGGGAGGGCCAGAGGGAGAGGGAGAAGCAGATACCCCACTGAGCAGGGAGCCCAACGACGTGGGGCTCGATCCCAGGACTTTGGGATCATGACTTGAGCCGAAGGCAGACACTGAACTGAGCCACTCAGGTGCCCCATAAATGTACACACACACACACACACACACACACACACACACACACACACACACAGCTTGCATCATGTTCTTACTTTCTTAGTCCTTATATCAGAAAAATTCCTTTTAATATACCTTTCTCTAGCCTTTCCCACATTCTAGCACTTTCTTCCTTGCTCCTACCCAGCGACATGAATGTAAAAAAGCGATTTAATAATAATAATACACTGAAGCCCAGTCACCTGTATGCTAATCCTATAGATCCTCAGAGCTATACTAAGTTCATCCTTGACCTTTTCTCTAGGACAAACTCAAATTCCTTTAGGCTTACATGCTCTTTCTCATCTCAATTTCTGGAAGTCTTTGTGAAATTTGTTCTCCCCAGAGAACTATAGGGTTCAAATCTGTATTTGATTTCCTAATAAAACCATAGTTAGGGTGACCACACAACATATTGTCCAACCTAGGGCATTTCTGAGTGAAAGAGGACTCTACCAATACTTTTGTCAGGACAGGGGGACAGATATGCATGGTAGCTATAATCAGTGCTTAAATCTGAAGAACACCTTCTAGTTTCCAATGGAGACGTTGGTGTTAAAGTTCCAATAACAAATTAAAGAGCAGAGGAGACAAAATTTGAAACAATTAAAATTCGGCCCCATACCCCCACCTCGAGAAAACAAACACTGAGGACCAGGAAATTTAAATATTTATTTTTCAATCCCCCACAACACTGGAGTATGCTTCGCCTAGAAACAGTTTACAGGACTAATAACTCTAATGAGTAAGCAATATAATTCCTATCCATGATGCAGCTGTGTTGTAAAGTTTCAAATAATCCATTTATAAATTCGTTGCTTTTGCTTTTACAAAAATATTCATTCAACCCATGATATGAGTTGCAAAATTATTTCTAGACCCCTACAAATTATAAACTGTAATTGCATTTCAGTCACATAGCAGGTGAAAATTTCAACTGAACCATTACTTCAAAATACAAGCGTTAAAAGTAATTGTGTTACAGTATAGGCACCAATGAAAAGAACTTTCTTGGCATATGACATGACCACGACTTATTCAAGTGTCTGTATTATTACAGAAAGAGAAGAGGTAATGGCCACTTTGACTAAAAACCGTATTCTTTACTTGAAGAACACCTTTCTTCTAATATTTGGCAATTATTCCGATTTCTAGAAATGACTTCTGTGCAAAAACCAAACTGTGCAGATCCAAACAACAAAACGTTAACTACCAAAACTAATTAATATCAATAATTCTACAACTACTGAAATATAGCCCCAGTTTGGAACTTAGGCAGGCATAATATATATACTGGGCTTAAAAGAAAAAAGGTATTACCCATGTAACAGTACCATAAATATAACTGAAAATAACTGTACAGTCTAACTTAACTTTTGTACGGACACAGGTCATCCTGTACTCTGGTTAGTTTCATATGAACTAGAAAATGCTTATTTAAATACCCTTTCAAAAATGAACAAATGATGCTTATGTACTGGATAATTATGGAGAACAAAAATGTATAAATAGTTTATAGGACATTTCACTACCATGACAAAAATATGCTGGTGTAAGTTATATTCATACCTGTTGATCAGGTACTTAATCACATGATTATCAGCTTTTACTTAAGCTCCCCAAATCCAAGCAATATAATATGCTTTATGAGTTGAAGATTTTAAAAATGAAGACTGATAAATTCCTCCAGTATTGCCAAAGACCCATCCTTGGCTAATTAGTATTGCTTTAATTTTCCAACCATGTTAAATAAGGGTTAACTGCCTCTTCTGCAAGAGAAGGTCAATACTGCACACCAAGAGGTACCTCTGTTGCTACATGTTGCCTATAAATGCTTCAAACACAGGGCTCTCAAATGGGATCATCATTGAGCTGCCTGGAAAATCATCCCAACTTGGTAGAGGGAGTCAATACTTTTCAGGTTTCATTTCCAAGAGCTTATTAAAAACTTCTGTTTTAAGAAGAAATGACTTGTTTCCACCTCCCCACCAATAGTCACTTTTAGAATATGCTTGTGTTTTTTTTTTTTTAAAGTGTTTTGAGGCTTGATGATTTACAAACATTCAATATTTAGGATGACTTTGAAAGACCTGTACGTTTCATGAGTGTACAGTTAACTAAGGATCAAAACATGAAAGGTATTCATCCCAGTAACTTAAGTAATAATGATACCTAAAAGCAAAACTGTATCTCAACATTTAGTAGAATACAGGTGAAACTATAGTATTAAAAGTTATTCCTTACAAAATAATCTCTTTAAAATATAAAATGATAAACACCATCACAAAATAGTTGAAGAGCTTCTTCCAAATCTTCAATGTTGCAAAGATCCAAAAGGCACATGGAGCTCATGAGTTAAGCATTGTTAAGCTTGAAGTAGCTTTGGTGGGTTTCTCTGGGTCCATATGAAATAGAAGCCGATAATAAGAAGTTCCTTAGGGGGATTCATCTGCTGAACACCTATAAAATGAAGAAAAATTTAAACCTATATACAACTACACATGTTTATATTTCTCATCTGTATGAACTCTGCAATAAAGGTACTGATTCAGCAAACTAAATTCTTTTACTGAATATCATCAGGTAGACGTTAACATATAAAGAAGTTCAAAAATCTCTTCTGTAGGGGTGCCTGGGTGGCTCAGTTGGTTTAAGCGTCTGACTCTTGATCTCAGTTCAGGTCTTGATCTCAGGGTTGTGAGTTCAGGCTCCATGTGGGGCCCACTGAAAAACAAAATCCCTTCTGGGGTGCCTGGGTGGCTCAGTCGTTAAGCGTCTGCCTTCGGCTCAGGTCATGATCTCGGGGTCCTGGGATCGAGCCCCGCATCGGGCTCCCTGCTCCGCGGGAAGCCTGCTTCTCCCTCTCCCACGCCCCCTGCTTGTGTTCCCTCTCTCGCTGTGTCTCTCTCTCTCTCAAATAAATAAAATCTTTAAAAAAAAACCAAACCAAACCAACAAAAAAACCAAAATCCCTTCCATATCTGATTTGACAACCTCCAGTTGACTTGTTTGCAAATTGGAAAAGAGCGGGAAGTTGTCCATGAAAATCTAAGGGATTTTGAAGAGGGGTTAGTTTAGTGTATGAGGACAAATAGGCTTCATCAGATAGAAGATCTAACAGAGTGTGTGATTTCACAGGCCGTATAGTTTGTTCCAACTGGATCCCAGTGGCATCACAAAGATAAACAAGTAGAAAGATGCACCGAGAAGCGATATATCACGGGATTGAGACTAGAATTAGTATTGCTTTATTCTGTCGGAGCTAAGGAGGTGTGTGCATGCATACAAAAGTCTGGTTTAAAAAGAGAACGTAAAAATCAAATGTATGAACTTTATTGAATGGGAACAAAGTTAAACCAACAATTTGAGACAGTGTGGAAACTGAAGTCAATCATAAGGGCCTTCTGTAGTCTGTACTGACTTCCTCTACCTACAATCCTTCCCTTAACTTTTCTTACGGGGGCTAAACGTAAGAACCCTAAATGGTATTTACAAGGGCCCAAATAAAAAGACGTAAGAACTTCAGCACTGGAAGCTATGTGAATAGTAGTGTGATGAAAGCATTCCTAAATGGTATTTACAAGGGCCCAAATAAAAAGACGCTCTCTGACCTTCCGTCTATACCCCTACTAGCAGGCAAAGGAGAAAAAAACAAAACAGGACATTTCTTTCAGGGGGAAAAGTACCTTGTAATGCCCAAAGATAATTCCAAAAGCTCGTGTTTAAGATGGGCGACAAACAAAACAGTTTTAAGCATACAACTATTAAGAAGTGACTTAATAATTAGGAATAGTTGAAATGACTGAATCAAAGTAATCATATCGTATCATAAACATCCCACAGAAAATGTCAAAATAATTTCTTAAATGACATTTCAAGCTTACTTTTGAAATTTTTCAATTAATTTCTTCACCATTTTATCTGTGATGCCAGGACAGGCGGCTTCAGCCACAGCAATACTTTTCTCAAGTTCTTCAATTGCCTGATTCCTGCTAGCGTTATTCTCATCCTGCTGTTTAAGCTGAGAAAGATCAACAGCAGTAACATTTAAAATTACCAGACTTCTTAACATAGATATCCAAAGCTAATGAATCCGTACTTACTTCAGCAAATGCAGGTGTGATTATCATAGACAAACAGCTCAGGGTTTGCACAAGATCTTGCTCCTTGGAACAAATAATATAGATTATGCCCATGAAATGAACATAATAAGTCATGGTGTTCTTATTCTATAACAAGCGAGCACTAATTTGAAACCTCCCTCCCAAAAGACCCAATATAAGGCATGTCTCCATGCTTCCTTCCCACCTATCCATCATCCAGAAGGCCTCTAACCTCTAGGATTACAACAGATATCCACGATTTCACTGGGTGTATGCATGTCTAGGTAAATTGCATTTAAAAAACATACCGATGGCCACTTAAACGACTTCCATGACCTTTACTTAATTAGCTCAAAACTAATGGCAAGTGAAGCATACTATGGACACAGTGAGATAGGCGGGCATTTAGGGGTATTAAATTCTAATAATTTTTGGCCATCATAATCTCACTCCATTAGTCCAAAAGAATCTATCGAGAGGAAGTGATCACTGCCATGTACATACAGCCCCATTCTGTAGCTTCTTTGGATCAGGCTTCTTCCGTACGGTGGTAAAGCTCCATTCGGGATGAGTATTATTTTCTCTGCTGGTGGGTTCCCTAAAGAGATGGCCCAAAATACTAATATAAGTTCCTAAATAATTCAGCTTGGTGAAAATATCAAATCATTGATTCCAAATCAATGCAGCCAGACTCTGAAGAGTTGTTCCGATATATAAAAAATCAGAGTATAAAAATAGCATTTGGGGGGCGCCTGGGGTGGCTCAGTTGGTTAAGCGACTGCCTTTGGCTCAGGTCATGATCTCGGGGTCCTGGAGTCGAGCCCCGCATCGGGCTCCCTGCTCCACGGGAAGCCTGCTTCTCCCTCTCCCACTCCCCCTGCTTGTGTTCCCTCTCTCGCTCTCTGTCAAATAAATAAATAAAAAATCTAAAAAAAAAAAAAAAGAATTGGGGGGCGCCTGGGTGGCTCAGTCATTAAGCATCTGCCTTCTGCTCAGGTCATGATCTTGCGGTCCTGGGCTCGAGCCCTGCATCGGGCTCCCTGCTTCGAGGGAAGCCTGCTTCTCCCTCTCCCACTCCCCCTGCTTGTGTTCCCTCTCTCGCTGTCTCTCTCTGTCAAATAAATAAATAAATAAAATCTTAAAAAAAAAAAAGCATTTGATCTTGGTTTTGGGTGGATACTACAATTTACTGGAGAAGAGCAGTGGTCTTCAATTCCTAAGTGTACATCAGAATCACAGGTGGAGACCTCTTACCACATAGATAAAGGCCTGCCCCCACCCCTCCCCACTGACTGGATCAGGATCTCCTGGGGCGTGGCTTTTGGTTCTTTTTTAAAGTTCCACGGGCTACTTTCATGGGCAGCCATGGCCAGCAAACCATTACAACAGGGCACAAAAATCATCCTGGTATTTTTTTTTTTTCAAAAGTAGGGCAATTTCTCATAAATGCAGGACTCTGAGAGTATTATCGAAAGAAATTTTGTGTTGCCTTTGTGCCGATTCAGCCAGTGGAAGAGTAAATTCTGGTGTAACCTACAGACTTCCCTGGTCTCCATTAAGTTATGGACTTAGAATCTCAGATGTCAATGTCAATGCTGCAGTTAGAAAACCGGTGGAACTTTTTTAGGGAGGTAGAAATCATATATAGATGAATATTTAAATATATCAGTGTGATCACAGTTTAGTATGTGGCCAAGGGGTGGGAAAGGCCTGGAGGTCAGTTCTCCAGAAGGATTTTGCAGATTCCCCCAAACTATGAGAAGACACAGCCCCTTATCACTTTGGGCAAGCTAATATAACACTTTTAATAGAATCTTGTTCCAAAATTTTGTAATATACTCAAATATCCACTAGGGGTTAGACCGAGACCATTTAAAAATAGAGCAATTCACTTCTAAGAAAAAAACCTGTTTCCAAATTCATTGTACTCCACAGACTGTGATTTTAAAAGATTTCCACAGTTTCTACCGTAAAACTTTAAAATAAGGTTTATATTTTATGCTAGAGAAAGCATAGTGGATACTAGTTAAAAGATAGGCAATATTAGAATGGGCTACCTACATAAAAATTGAATGATTTGTACATACGAATCAGAGCCCTCAGAATCAGATTCATCATCACTGTGCCCTTCTGCCTTCCATCTCTTAAAGCGATCTATCAGTTCGGTCAGATACGAAGTCTTCTTTGAATTTTTTACAATGAATTTGTGTTTCAGAAGTTCTTTAGCTGTAGGACGCTAGGGAAAGAGGAAGGACACAAGAATACTTCCAGGTTCTTTATGATTGCAAGGGGTAGTAAAAAATTATTTCAATGATTAAGCAGAAAAGGTACATCTGAAAAGTAGGTCTATAAACATGAGGACAACTAAAATGCTGTAGGGCAAAAAACAGCTAATTCTACTTTTTGAAGTGGCTCAAGGCAACCAAATTGAATTTACTACCTTTGTACCAATTTGTTCAAGCCCAGGGGGCAAAAAGGTGGCCTACCTACCAGCAAACTGGCAGGCAGGGACCTCTCAAAAGCAAAGAAACACAGAATAGGATTTTGAAAATAAGTTAACATTTAAAAACATTTCAACAACAACAAAAAAAATAAAATAAAAACATTTCAACATAGTGCTTTCAAACACTCATTATGTTTACTGTAAGTTGGACAAATGGATGACAACTAGCAAGGCTGTAACTTTATCATCTGCACACATCTTATGATCCCCAGATTAATCCTTTCTCCATCACACATTAATTCATAGTGCATCTAAATGCAAATACCGGGTGCTGTGGGGGATATTTCTCCCCTAGGGTTTTGTTAATATCAGAATATTCATTCTCAATTTAAAAACAGTTACATCAAAACTTAGTTCTTATACATTTCTAGCTTCTAGAAGTCACCAGGCAGCTTTATTTTAGAAACAGTAAAGCAACTGTGATCAAATCTGCCAGGTAAATGAGTGGAGTTCATTAGACTTCAGTAAAAGCATACAACTTCATATGCTGGAATTTCTCAACATTAAATTTTCAAAGAAGTGAAATGCACACATCACTTTCCATGAAAAATGAAAACACAGTTGAATAAAAATCACTGTGGATAGTTACACGTGTACTTTAATAATGACTTCCTATAACAGGAACTTTATTTCTCAAATTTCTTTCCCTCTGAAATAAGAAATGATCAACAGAATAAGGAAGGAACTAGGGACCATGAGAAAGACAAAAAGATATGGAGGAAGGATCTTGTTAAGGACTGAACAGAATTAGCAAGAGAGAAGGAAGAGCCAGGTTCCTAGAAGGATCTTAGACAATTTTCACATGCACTGTATTCCTCACTGTAGAAAAACCACATTTGCTTATATAGATTTAATAATCAAAAACAAATAGTAGTAATAGCAATATATACTCACAAATGACGGATCTTTGTTCAGGCAAGCATCAATAAACTCCTTAAAAGACTTAGTAAAGTCTCCAACAAGAGTTGGAGGATTGTTTTTTGGAATAAGAAACAGAACTCTCATCGGATGCATATCAGAGTTAGGTGGCTCTCCTTTGGCTAGCTCAATAGCAGTGATTCCCAATGACCAAATGTCAGCCTGGCGTAAGAGAGAGAAAAAAGTATTAGCTCAAAATTCCATTCCAACAGACTGCCATGAAACAGCCTGTGCGTCACATGATATTAAAGTGTCTCAAGAGGGGCACCTGGCTGGCTCAGTCAGAAGAGCGTGTGACTCTTGATCTTGGGCTCGTGAGTTTGAGCCCCATGTTGGGGGTAGAGAGGAAATCAATCAATCAATCAATCTTAAAAAAAAATAAAATGTCTCAAGAAATGTAATGTAAATGTAATAAATTTTTATTAATTAAATTCATTTATTTAAAACAAATTATCAAATTCCTTAACGTTTTGCCAGGCACCACATTCTGGGCACTGAGGATTGAGGTGGTGAATAAAGCAGACAAAAATCCCTGCTGCCAAGGGGCTTGTGTTCCAACAGAAGAGACAGATAAGTAAATAAATATGATGTCAGGCGGTGCTAGGTTCTGTGAAGAAAAGAATAAAATCAGGATAAGGGAATAATGAATGATGGGGTCAAGGGGCTGCAAATTTTACACAGGATGGCTAGGGAAGACTACTCTGTGAGGTAATGGGTTTTTTTTTTTTTTAAAGATTTATTTATTTATTTTAGAGGGAAGGAACAGAGGGAGAGGGAGAGTATCTCAAGCAGACTCCACCCTGAGCGCCGAGCCCAACATGGGGCTGATCCTACAACCCCGAGATCATGACCTGAGTGGAAACTAAGAGTTGGACGTCCAACTGACTGCACCACTCAGGCGCCCCTACCGTGAAGCAATGTTTAAGCAGAGACCTGATTGGAAGGAAGGTTATTCCAGATAGAGGGAAGGGTGAGTGCAAAGATCCTGAGGCCAGAGTGGTACTTGATATGTTTGAGGAACAGCAGTGAGGCCCCTGTGGTCAAAGGAGACAGAATATAGAGGAGAATAAAAGGAGATGAGGCTGGGGAGGCAGACAAGGGCCAGATCATAGACAGCTACGTATGTGATAGTAAGGACCTTGGATTTTATTCTAAGTGGGATGGAAGGCTATTGAAGGGAATAGGGTCAAAATATTATCAGCATCCTGGGAACTTATGATTTAGCAGGAACACCTGACATAACACTAGCTTTCAAAATCCTTTTAAAAGAAGGAAAATTTGGGCAGTTTCTTTACATCGAATAGCATGCTATATAAAACCTATTATTAAAAACAAAACAGCTTTGTACAGGTAACACTTTACTTTTGAGTCATAAGCTGACTGCTGAATAACTTCAGGAGCCATCCAAAATGGTGTTCCCACAAAGGTATTTCTTTTGATTTGTGTATCTGTCAGCTGGCCAGCAACTCCAAAGTCAGCCAGTTTAACATCTCCTTGTTCTGACAGCAAGACGTTGGCAGCTGTGGGGAAAAAAGAAACAAAAACCCCTCAGCTTCCTCAGAATGCAGCTATGTTTCCCAGGTTCATATAAGATTTCTGTATACCTTTTATGTCTCGGTGAATTTTCTTTTCTGAATGCAGATAGTCCAGACCTTTCAAAATTTCCTTCAGCATGGTAGCAATCTGGAACTCATCAAATGGACCAGCTCGAAGCTGAGGGGGGAAAACACACACACTTTTACACACGTCCGAACAATCTAGTTCAAACTTGATATTATCTTTGAAACAAGGGAATCACTTAAATATACGAAGCAATTCTGCTTATTGAGCCAATATTGAAACAAAGGGGAAAACAATTTAAAAGATGAGGGAAGAGAGTAAACAAGTTAAGTCAAAAGGCTGAAAGGGTTTTTAAATGATTAGATTTAATCTCGAAAGATAATAGAAGCATTGTGACCTCTGTACCAGCTCCACGTCCGGAGGTTCCTAAATATTTACATCCAAGATTTAAGAAATATGCTTAAACAAGACAGAATTAGCTTTCTTTTCTTTTTGGCTAGGAAAAAAAGAAATCAGCTACTTAAATTTTGGCATTGGCTATTTAAATGATTAACTATTTACACTAAACTGATTTTGAGATCAGTCAGCCCACAGCATGGTTCGGTTCTTAGCATTCGTTGGATCTCAAGCACTTTGGAAAGCAGAGAGCCTTTTTGAGACCGAAATTTAAAAGTTAGCCAGGAATATGATAATTAATCTATTCAGACTTTCATTGAAAAAAAAAAAAAAAATCAAATCTTGAAGGGATACGGTTTTTCAAATAAATGTAACACATTTCCCTTTCTTTCCCCATCCCTGTACCAAAGCCAATAGTTCCAACTGGAATACAAGGAAAGCAATGATTAGGTTTCAGGAGAACTTGTAATGGAATATCTGAAAATCTCTCTTTAAAATAAATGGTTATTTTAAAATTCTGGTACCTCATAAAGCACAAACAGTGGACTGTACAATATTATTACAGGAAAGGGTGGGAATCTAAAGTCAGAGCTGAGGTAGAGTTCTGTTTGCTGGAAGGAGGGAAGAGGTGGTGAAAATCAAACATGGCCCACTCTGCCTCACACTGGGAGGGATTCACAGCTCTTTGGCACCTTGTGTATTTCATCTTTCATGAATGCCGTATTTATTCTGAATAAAGGGCACTTTCATGTTGAAATTTAACAGCTTAAAATAGACCCCGTACTTCAGTTTCACCATTGACTATTAACTGTGGCCTGGATATAGAGCATACTCCGGGGATGTCCGTAGTTCAATAGGTGCCTTTCCTAGGTAACATTATCTATTTACTTATAAATCTATCAACTTCCACCCCAAAAGTTTCTAAACAGGAGTGATTAAAGTTGTTCTCAAAGGTGAAAATGGCATTTTATTGATTGCTGGCAATGAAATTCTGAGGGACTACCAAATAACTGAGAGACAAAGGTCATACTAAGGATTTGTAGTTGGTATCACTGATCACAACATGTTGACAGGGGCCGAGGAGGTATACCCTCAGTTACTTAAGAAATCGGGCAAGGTCTGTAAGGGATACTACTTGTCATTCTGAAGGACTTCTAAAAGTGGCCTGGATAAGCCAATATATTATGTAATACAGAATTTTTAAAAAGTATATTTCTGTAAAAACACACAAAAAAGGGGTCCTACAGACCCACTAGCTTATTGGGTATACTTAGGTCCAGTTTAAAATTCAGGAAAAGTACAATCTTGATGAACGGGGTACTGGGGGAGGATGAGAGGGGGAGGCTCCATGGCAGGGAAATGGGAATGGGGTGCTACAGCTGGGTTTTTCCTGGTTCATTATCAGACAGAAAACTATTTCAAGGCTTGTGGTTAAAATGTTTCCTTGGCCATGTTGACAAGAACGAGAAAATGAGAAAAAAAGGGAGTTGGAAAGAGAACGAAGGTAAAGTCGATGGAACAGAGACTGTTTTTTTATTTGCTGTACAACCTTGGGAGAGAGAATGCTGAAATCTTGGTCTACTGGCCTTGGAGTGCATAACTGAACTCCTCAATGACTGAGGACTGTGCCAGTGTCTCTAATAGCTAATACCTCTGCCCCCGGGGCCGCATACTGGCCTTGGGTAATTTGCCTCTATTGTCCACTGAGAGCATGCAAGAGAGGGACATCTGCTCTTTCACAGACTGTATACTTGTGGGCCTGGGGCTCTCCCCCACTCCTTTGACTTTCAGCCGGTCCTAATGCAGCACATTGCGTTATGCCTTCTCTTATGGTTAGCATATTGTTTCCAACTTTTTTCTTTGGTGCCCCTATTTTATTCTATTAGCCTTACTGTATGACTTTTTGTTGTAAGCCACCGCAATTCTTCCTGGAAAGAAGTCAGGGATGATCAATTCCATAAAATAACCTAAATATGCACAAAGTCTGTTCATACACAACTAAGTTTTTTTCAAGAATGGGAGAGAATCTTGAGGTATAAATCTAAAATGTTGATGTCAGTTACAAGTCATAATCACACTCCTTTAGTTGGGCACCAGTTTAAAGTGAGAAATACTCTCTGCCCAGCACCCTTCTTGTTTTCTCTTGTCCCTAATAGCAGTGCCCTCCCTCCAACCTAATCCTTTCTTAGATTCCTCAAATGCTAGCATTCCTTTGTATGGCACATTTTCTCATCATTGGCCCTCCTTACAAAGGCCAGTTACATGAACTTTATCATTCAATCACAGTGTTCTTGAATTTGTGAGCTAGAGAAACAAACCTCGAGCAATTATTAGTCGAATTTCTTCATTCAATATTTGAGGAAATCAAGGCACAGAGGTTCAATGGCTTGTCCAATATTAGCCAGTTAGTCAATGGCAGAACCAGGACTAGGACCTAGGTCTCTTGATTTTCGATGGAACAGGGAAGGGATATGGTGAGCACCTTGGGGGACCAGATAAGGGAACTGTGATCAATTTGGAAAGGGCTCTTAATATTTAAAAAGTAGAAGGAGGAGGATCGTGGCACAATTGGCAGGCTTCTTGTAGAGCTAATGAAAACACTACTGTGGAATAAAAGTATGTGACAAGACAAATGGAAATGGGGTCATTTAACTTCAAAAGAATGAGATCTGACTCCATAAGCATGAAGGATTATTATACAAAGAAACACCAGTTGTGTTCTATCACTAGAACGGAGAGAGAAAGAAAAAATGAACTCAAGCTTTAGGATATTAGACACAAGGAAGGATTACCTAACTCAGCAACTGATTAAAATGAGATGAATTCCTAGAAGGAGATGAGACTCTCCATCAAGTTTAATTACCATTTCTTTAGAATGCTTTAAATATGGTTCTGTTTAAAGGAAAGAAAATCTCTTACAGTCATTTCTGTTCATAGGATTACTTGAAACTTTGGAGTCATTGGCAGGGAGGATTAAACCCTTTTAGAAATATTTAATCACTCACGATTGGGAAAACTCATCTCCACTTGAAAATAAGAGTTAAAATATTATTTGATGATCTTAATCATCAAAACACTTTATTTTTGGAAACAGCATACTCTATAATTTCAAAAGCAGAAGCATCCTAAGAAAATATAAGTCATAGAATATTGAAGACAGAAGGGAACTTAGAAATAACTTCTTTGTTTTGTAGGATATCCAAGTCTAAGGAATTTATGTGTCTGGTTCACAGGCACAGATTTAGTTATGAAGATAGCTAGCCCCATAACCTCAAACTCCTATAGGCCAGCCCAGTGGCCATCCTACTACACAAAGTTGCCTCTAGTAATGAATGCATATTGAATTTTAAATACAATGTCATATTAATAAAGATTTAAAGGGGGGGAAAACAGCAATAATAGAATCACACCAATGTGGGGAAAACAACCTGTGTTTCTCAGAGGGATTTTGTGTACAATCACTGCTTCATTGGGGGAAACTTCTCCTACCCATTGCAGGATTTTAGTATCCTGATCTTTGCCCACTAAAATGGCCCTAGGAATTCCAAGTCATTATCACAACCAAAAATACCATCACATTTCCAAATGGCCTATGGGGTGGGGGTAGAGAGAATTCTGTAGGGAACTGGGTCCGTAGGCCTATTTGGTGAGAACCCAAGGACCAGTTTCAGTGACAGTTACCTGAATCACATATTTTTAAAAATCCAAGAATGTTCTGTCTTTTCAGGGAAACGCTTGCAAAGTAAAACTCTAAACTGATAGCTACTGTCACATACAGTCCTAATTTGCCATGCTTTATTTCATTAAGCTATTTTGCATTTCATACACACTCTAAGAAGGTCAGCAATATGCCCAATCCTGCAATCTAGCTCAAACTACATAAGGGTAGTGGACCTGAATAAAGAGTTTAATTTGAACATATTAACTAGAGCAACCATTCAGCTTGCCCAAAAGCCACTGCTTACTCCCGTTGAAAGAAAAAAGTTATAAATGTGTATGTGTGTAATTATTTAAAAATACTTACAAGATCCAGTGCTGAACCACCACCCAGGTATTCCATTATTATCCATAATTTTGAACCCTGTAAAAGCCATGAAACAATTTAATAATTATAAACCTGAGCCAAATAACATACTAGCATAAAATGTTAAATCTGACATACTAATGTACTGGTTCTAAAATACAAGTTTAAAATTAGTTGTTTGAAGCCCAGCATATGTTTTTCCATAGAACATTACAAATAAATAAAATAAAAATAAAATAATTAAAAAAAATAAATAAAAGTAAAGTTCTGAGTCTTTTTTTTTCTCCCAACCTATTTAGCCTGTGATATAGCTAAATGAAGAACAATTATTTTTTTTTACTGTTGAACTATTAGCAATTTTTATAAAACCCAGAAAAAAGAAACCATAGCCTTAAATTTTTATTTTGGAAGATTTTGAAAGGAAAAGATAGTTACATTAAAGAATGAGGAGGTATATGGAGACTTGTAGAAATTTTAAATGGAGCTTCTGGGTACTTCCCATGTGATTTTAGAGTTTGAGTACACTGGATGGTTTGCCTTATTAGAGTTTTTGGCTTTTGTTCTCATGTACAGTACCACTTTTATCAGCCATGATCAATGGGCATTTTTGGTACACATGTGGAGCCTAGAAAGGATATTGTCCCTCCTCGCCCCCATACCCCTACTGCCAAGGTTCATGGCTAAGAGAAAGGGAGTGTGTAGCTTGAAAAGCATAGGATTACTTGATTACTCCAGAATTAACTTCACTGTTAAGTTGTACAGGAAGAAATGGGGCAAGTACATGTATATAAATTTCAAATCAGGTGCATACACACATGCACATAAATTCCAAATCAGGTGCACGCACACACACACCATTCAGCAATGTCAGATAAAAACTGGAATAAACCATTAAATCGTTTCTTCTTTCAGCTGTAGCCTTAAATACGGGGGACACTTCTCTCCCCAAATCATTTCATGAGTGCTATTCTCTGCATTGTTGTGGGACCACAGACTTGACTACGAGTGGAACAGTTGATTTTACTGTCCTGGCAAGGAGCCAAGTTATGAACAGCTTGTGTTCTAAAAGTCCATTTTTAAGTAAGGTGTTTCAAATTTGGAAAGCAAGCATTTTTCCCATAAAAAATAACGTCAAGTTTTCTGGGGTAGTCCAGTTGAACAGACAGTTGAACATGAAGGTCTCCACAGTATAGCAGGAAAAAAGCCAGAGAAAAAAACTACTATTTACACCCTCACAATGTTTCCAGGGGAAAAACCCCCTCAGTGTTGTGCTTCAACTTGGGATGTCAGGGCCATATTTCTTACCTTTACAGCCCCAGCTGTGGGATGAAGATTCTCCAGCTACTGCCAGGAGCCGTCAAACTCTAAACTCCCCGGGAAGTACTCAGGAGTTCCAATCAAAATGTCCACGTGTCCCCATGAGGCTGGGGCTTCAGCATGGCAAGAAAATGGACCCCAGGAACATGTTGATGGGTGCCACTATAGTGTAGGGACTGGGAGGTGGGAGGTGGCCTAGTGTTAGGGCCCACGGAGGAAGGGTTTGGTTAAATTAAGATGAAAGGATTCCTCCTTCCTTTCTGGATGCTGACACCATGTAGGATGCACGGGGTAGGGGGGAGGGAACAATGTACCTTCCCCCCAGTCTCAACAGCCACTCCCCTATCACAGCCTGAACTGAAGAAAGAGCTGAGAGTCTTTGCCAGGGGCGGTGTCTAGGGTAGGAAAGAGAGGAAATACATCCCTGTAACAGTGGGAGGGGAAAAAGTTCTGGGAGCACTTCAGGTAACTTGTTTTTATGTCTTGAAATCAGGCCCTCGGAACCTGAGACTTGTCAACCTGATGTGTCTTTATCCTTTCTTCAAGAGAAGAAAAAAACGTTTCTCACAACGCCGCATATCCTGAGAATTTTTTCTTTTGCCACAAGTTTGTTTCTAATAAGTCCTATGTTCTACCTTATGAACTCAGAATGCTTCCCATGCACCTGATATTTAAAAGGCAAATGAAAAGATCTTATTAAACATGTGTATCTGTTTTCTAGTTCTGCGCGAAGGAAAGCATCTGTTTTCCGAGTTTGAAACAATGTGTGTCCTTTTTTGGGGGATACCGACTCAAAACAGAAACTTACCAACTGTCTGTTCTCCGCTAAAGTATATTCACGGACAGCTTAAAATGTTATTAAAGTTGGGAGCAAGCAACTTCCAGATCTGAAAAAGGCGGCTTCCTCCTTGCAAGCAAGCCGTTGGGTGGGACCAGGACTCTTCGGAAACAGGGCAGGGAAGGAACCAGAGGTGCCGGACAGATTTTCTGCCTGCTTCCTTCTGATCGCCATTTCTGGAGACAAGCCTCACTGGAAGGCCTTCACTGGAAGGTGTGGGGGCTGAAGCCAGGCTGGTGGGGCTCTTCCCTGCTCAAGGAAGCTTCACCCACAGAGGCTCTTCTCACAGGCTCGTTTCCACAGCAGGTCTCAGGGAAAACACTGATCGCAAACAGAACAAAACCGAAAAGCCTAGACTCTATGTTTGTGTTCTTTTGGAGGACTACAACTTCTACCTTTGATTTCTGTGAAAAGATGTTTGTGTTGGAGAATGCAAATAAGTATGTTTGGCTTGCTTTTAAATAATTTAAAAGGCTGAGATGGTATCTACATACCGGTTTAAAATTCCAAGAGCCAGGGACTGTAAACCATAACCGTACATCCGGCACATTGAAGCGGAGGAAGTCCCCGAAGGAAAAACTCTACTTCTCCACTTACAAAGTGACCCACACAGTTTCACAACGGGTTGGAGGAGTAAGTTTAAAGTCCTGCATCAACATGGGTGGTCAGGGGTTAGGAATTGGCTCTCTGTTCCAAAATTCAGAACGCCTAAAGAGTAGGGACTCCAGAGTCGTACTATTTACTGGGGAGAACTTGAAGCCTAGTGTCAACAGATTACTGGTGTCTGCAGTATCACCTCTGTCGCCCCACAGGAAGGCCACTGAACCCCACAGTTTGCTGCTAACCAGACACTTGGCCAAAGTGGGGAGAAAGGCTACTGTGGAATTTGGAATTCATTTGTTCATAGAAAAAAAAAAACATTTAAAATACCCATTATATCAGGGCACCTGAGTGGCCCAGTCCTTAAGCGTCTGCCTTCAGCTCAGGTCATGATCCCAGGGTCCTGGGATCGAGCCCTGCATCGGGCTCCCTGCTCAGTAGGAGGCCTGCTTCTCCCTCTCCCACTGCCCCTGCTTGTGTTCCCTCTCTCGCTGTGTCCCTCTCTGTCAAATAAATAAATAAAATCTTAAAAATAAAATAAAATACCCATTATATCTATTTGAGAGATGATTATTGTACTATATATTAAATACATGTTGAATTAAATGGGCTGGTCTATGAATCTCCTAGCCAATCACAACATTGACCACATAATCCAACATGGACAACTAAAGTCAGCCAGTTATCAAAGGACAATTGCTGTCTGATTCCACTTATTTTTTTATTTTTTAAAGATTTTATTTATTTATTTATTTGACAGGGAGAGACACAGCGAGAGAGGGAACACAAGCAGGGGGAGTGGGAGAGGGAGAAGCAGGCCTCCCGCCGAGCAGGGAGCCCGACACGGGGGTCGATCCCAGGATCCTGAGATCATAACCCGAGCCGAAGGCAGACGCCCAATGACTAAGCCACCCAGGCGCCCCTGATTCCACTTATATAAGGAACCCAGAGTGGTCAAATTCCTAGGGACAGAAAGTAGAATGGGAGTTACCAAAGACCGTGGAGAGGCGACAATGGGGAATTATAGTTTAATGGGTATAGAGTTTCAGTTGAGGAAGATGAAAAAGTTCTGGAGATGGATGGTGGTGATGGTTGCACAGCAACATAAATGTACTTTCTGCCACAGAATTGTACACTTAAAATGGTTAAATGGTAAATTTTATGATGTATATTTTACCACAATTAAAAAGAAACAGCATGTAAAATTTTATGGAACCACAAGGGAAAGGAGAGGAGAGATCATCTTGCCATATGCTTTACTACCCTTGAGTCATTTTTTTTTTTTAAGGTTTTATTTATTTATTTGACAGAGAGAGACAGCGAGAGCAGGAACACAAGCAGGGGGAGTGGTAGAGGGAGAAGCAGGCCTCCCGCGGAGCGGGGAGCCCGATGCAGGGCTCGATCCCAGAACCCTGGGATCATGACCTGAGCCGAAGGCAGACGCTTAACCGACTGAGCCACCCAGGCGCCCCTACCCTTGAGTCATTTTCTTCCAAACTAGAATACCTTCTCTATACTCCACCCTCACCAAAATTATGCTCAAGTTCTTGTTCAAATGCTACTCCTTGTTAGGGTTATTGTACTTGATGTACCCACAGATAAGTGGGTAATGCGAAGCAAGTTAGATATCTGGGGCTAAGGAGAGAAGCTAGAACCAAAGACATGAATTTAGAAGTTGTCATGATAGGGGCGCCTGGGTGGCTCAGTCGGTTAAGCATCCAACTCATGATTTCAGCTCAGGTCATGACCTCAGGGTTGTGGGATTGAGCCCCACATGGGGCTCGCGATCAGCATGGAGTCTGCTGGAGATTCTTTCCCTCTGCCCCTCTCCCCTTTCAAATAAATCAATCTTTTTTTTTTTTAAAAAAAGAAATTGTCATGATAGGGTGGATGAGACTGACCAGGGCAAATATGCAGAATGAAAGGAGTATACATAGTAGGGCACTCAATAAGTAAATGTCTGCTAAACTGAATCTAATATGGGGCTCCTTAGAGTGTGTTATCTCAAGTTTAAAGCTATATTTGTTTTGAGGAAAAAACATTGTAAGGAGGAAAAAATTTTTCCCTCTTCAACTTCCTTCAAGTTTTATAAGAAAACTCTCCAAAACACAATTTTTAACTAAGGAACATTCCAGAAACATTCACCACACACTGGGAGTAAACACACACAAAAGTCTCAGGAAAAACAGTGAGAAGGTCACAAAACTTTACAGACTCTATCTATTCTGGAATATTTTACTTCTGTCATTCAATTCTTTTTTTTTTTCAATAAATATCAAGGTGGTGGTATGTGGGGGGGGGCATATTTCCTTAACATAAACAGAAATCTAAAGGCGATTTTCAGCAGCAAATAAAGGCATGATTCAAATTCTATTCAATGCCCGAGTGAGCTTCATTTTAAGATTTACATCGAACTAGAAAAATATTTAAAGATTATAAAAGATTTTTCCAATATTATGAGATCAGAAGGGAAGGGTTTGCTTATTTTAGCATTCTTCATAAAGACTAACTTTGTCTCTCATGAAAATCTGCAGTGAACTAAAATTAAAGGAAAATACTGTGGTCATACTGATGTTTGTCTGGTTTTTACTCTTGTTTTTAAAAATGAAGTTATACAGTGAGCTCAGTCAAAATGAATACCTTGTACATTTTTGCATGTTTCAAGGAAATCACTACAACTACATACAGTTTCAGAGAGCATATAATTTTCTCTCAAATGCAATAACTTTTCCTCCAGCTTACAGTGAGGTCTTGGTTATGTATGATATGCTGCGTAAAGAGAACCTGAGAAAAACCCATATCCTACTATACTCAATTAACTTGACTCACAGAATCCCCCATGTCATCTGAAATGGAAAGATGCACCACAATAAAAACATAAGTCGATTGATAATGCAGGTCCCTGATGGTACTTAGAGGATGTAGCCTTGAGTTATATTGACTGCATTAAACAGAACCCTGTTATATTTGATGCGATTTTAGTTTTAAAAAAAAAAAAGCAAGCCTACAGAGTCTCACTATGTTTTAATATAAATGGAAAATAAACAAGTTGGTTAATTTAAGTTGGTAATTTAAATAAATGATACTAAAAGGTTATAAAATCATAAGCTATTTCTGTGTGTATATATGCACATGTATACAGAGATAATACACATACATTTATTTACTCTAATGTAAATAGATTCAGGATACAAATAATCAATATCAGCCAGCTGTAAATTTCTACAATTTTATCAAGAAGTGACATGTTTTTCAAAGTAGTCTTTCATATTGTGGACTTTAATTAATGATGGTAAAGGAGAAAAAAACAATTCAGTTTAATCCTTTAAGAAGACATCATGTATAATGGCCCTGATTCACTGACTAGTCTGAGAACATTCCATAATCAAGATTTGGACAAGACAATCCGTTTTATTTATTTAAAAATTAAGTATTTATGGGTGACTGGTACATGTACACCATGAGGGGAATTTTTTAAAAACATGAAATCTTAGGAATAAATAATACAAACAGAGCTATTATAATTCATTTTCCATGAGAGTACTGAGTCTGAATCAACAAAGGCTATAAGCATCCAATGAAAACAGTCAATACCACGTTGATACCCATTTTCAATATAATATAGAATAACCCATTTGGAATAGGGCTTATTTAATATTTTAAGTCAGTTACCAAAAAGAGCTTATCTGTTGTTACAGATGCCTAAGAATAGCAAAGGTTTAGGTTTGCTCTAGAGTAGGTCTGGAATTACCAGGATTCAAGCCAGAAAGAGTAAACCAGAATGCATAAACCAACAACACTCACAACAACCACAGCTTCCTGAGGCTGCCTCAAACCAAGCCTGCTATGGGAATCAGGAGGGGGACCTAAATGTATTGAGACTGAGTGACCTCTCAAGATTCCTTAAAAAAGAGTCTGACCCGCTAAATAAGGTTTTGTAGGAAAGAATTCAAAAGCAAAATATGCCACAAAGAATCAAATAATTTTGGGTACAGTTAAAGAGAGTAACGGCTAACACTGAGAAGCAAATTGAACAGGAATTACCATCTCCTCTTGGAAGCCTTTCCTTCACACCACCGCCCTCCCCCCAAAATGAGAGAAGCGACTACTTGCCTATTTGTGCTCCATCTGTACCTTGTACATACTTAATCACAAAATCTGCACCCTTTTAGTGCAATGTGGGACTGTGCACTCCTTAACGGCAGGGGTGAGTTATTCATTTTTTTTTTGGCATGAATTCTACCCTCTTTTTAAATTTTTTTATTTTTTTATCATGTCATATTAGTCATACAGTACCTCACTAGTTTTTGATGTAGTGATCCATGATTCATTGTTTGCGTATAACACCCAGTGCTCCATGCAATACGTGCCCTCCTTAATACCCATCACCGGGCTAACCCATCCCCCCACCCCCCTCCCCTCAAACTCTCAGTTTGTTTCCCGGAGTCCATAGTCTCTCATGGTTTGTCTCCCGCTCTGATTTCCCCCCTTCATTTTTCCCTTCCTTCTCCTAATGTCCTCTATGCTATTCATTTTTTTTAAAAAGATTTATTGATTTATGAGAGGGCGGGAAGGAAGGAGCAGAGAGAGAGAATCACCAAGCAGACGCCTGCTGAGCGTGGAGCTCAATCAATGGGGCTCAATCCTACGACCCATGAGATCATGACCTGAGTCGAAACCAGGAGCTGGAGGCTCAACCGACTGAGCCACCCAGGTTATTCATTTTTATATCTCCAGCCCCTAATACAGGTATGACACATAGTGACAGGCTGTTTAAGGATTTATTCTACTATACATTCATTCCACATTCATCTAATTCATGTAATATTAGAATAAACAGGCTTTGTAAAAAGCCAGTGAAATTTATGACTTCTAAATCAGTAGTAACTAATACAGATAGATTATCCTAGGGTTTATTTGGTCAGCAGAATATAAAAAGAGCATTAATTCTTATGCAGGCCAATAGCTTGATGAGTTATAAACACACCCTTTTTGGCCTAGAGATAGATGAACAAAAAACCAACCAAACAAAACTCTTTCCCCCCTTGTAAACCCTGAAAAGCAAAGACCTAATACTGCCTTCCTTTGAAAAATTTCAACATGGGGATAAAAATTTTTAATTTTAGGGGCGCCTGGGTGGCTCAGTCGTTAAGCGTCTGCCTTCGGCTCAGGTCATGATCCCAGAGTCCTGGGATCGAGCCCCGCATCGGGCTCCCTGCTCTGCGGGAAGCCTGCTTCTCCTTCTCCCACTCCCCCTGCTTGTGTTCCCTGTCTCGCTGTGTCTCTCTCTGTCAAATAAAAATAAAATCTTTAAAAAATGTTTTAATTTTAAAATAATTGTAACTCTAACCTAAGCTAGATTTTTCTATTTATTCTTCACATTTCAATAGGCACAGATCCTGACTTCTTTTTTTAAGGTTTTATTTATTTGAGACACACACACAGAGAGAGAGAGAGCACAAGCAGGGGGAGCAGCAGAGGGAGAGGGAGAAGCAAACTCCCCACTGAGCAGGGAGCCTGAGGCGGGACTTGATCCCAGAACCCTGGGATCATGACCTGAGCCAAAGGCAGATGCTTAACGGACTGAGCCACCCAGACGCCCCAAGATCCTGACTTCTAACTTTGGAACTCAAGAACTCTTGGGTTTTACTAACCCAATCACATCTCCATCTGCCATGACCTCAGGTGTCTGTTAATTCCACAATCCTGGAAACTAAAATTCCAACTTCTGTTGGGGAGGGGGGAGGACAGATAGTAGTATTCCATTTGACTCCACTTCAACAGATATTTATCATGGACTTAAGATGTGCCATGTCCTGTGCTAAGTGATGTAAAAACCCAGACTGCTTGAGCTAAACTCCCTGCCATCAAGGAGCTCATAATTTGGAGGGAGAGAAAGATGTGTAAATAAGCACCATAACTCAATGGAATACATGACATACTTACATATTCCATCAATTCTGAGGTTGAGACAGACTGGACCATTGAGAATAATGTGTGAAAGCCCAGGGGGAAAGCTCTTTCCTGACAAAGGATATGGCTCAAGGACCAGCTGCATTTCTGCTCCCCCGTCAATCCAAAGTTCAGGTGTGGAATAACGGTGCAGCCGAGTGCTGGGATGCATTCAGGATACAGCTGCTAAATCTAAAAACAGTCTATCTGGCACTATAAATGGAGCTGGATTCTGCCTGGAGGCCAAAGACTGCCAAATCCTAATTTAAGACATTGCCTTTCAAAAAATAGAATTAAAAAAAAAGAAAGAAAAACTTATAAGGAAAATACCTTATGACTTAAATAATACAACACACACATTACCTTTAAATATGATCCATAGTATTTTGTTACATATGAGCTGTCACACTGACTCAAAACAGTTATTTCTTGCTGAATGTCTTCAATTTCATCTTCGGCTTCCTCGAGGTCTATGATTTTAATAGCAACCACTTGCTGGGTACGGTTATCAATTCCTTTGAAAACTTCTCCAAAGGAGCCTTTCCCAATGCGTTCTAATTTTGTGAACAGTTCTTCTGGATCAGCTATGTTATTCTAAGGGGGGACCGGGGAGAGAAAGAAAGAAAAGAACACAAATGTTTTGCATCAAATTTCTTTTACTTGAAAGGAAAATAAATCACATAAGACAATAACACATTTTTAAAAGCATACAAACTCCCTTGACTCTCCACATGTGCTTTGTTAGAGCAGTTATAATCCCAAACAGCCAGCTAGTCCATATTCTACCGGATCACCCACACTAATTGGGCTTAGCTGATCCTCTTACCACAAACAATCCCATAGAGCAAATGTTGTCTCTGCTGCCTGCCAAAGGGCCAGGTACTTTTTACTTTGACAACGGCCTTAGCAACATTTTTTTCTAGATATATTTCCTTAGGCAAGGGAAACAAAAACAAAAATAAATTATTTGGACTATACCAACATAAAAAGCTTTTGCACAGTGAAAGAAACCATCAACAAATCGAAAAGGCAACCTATTGAACAGGAGAAGATATCTGCAAATGATATGCCTAATAAGGGGTTAATACCTAAATTATATAAAAAAACCTTACACAACTCAACACCAAAAAAACAAATAATCTGATTTAAAAATAGGCAAAAGACCTGGGTAGACATTTTTCTTTTTTAAGATTTATTTATGAGAGAGAGAGAGAGAGAGAGATCATGTGTGCACATGCACACAAACAGGTAGGAGGGGCAGAGGGAGAGGGAGAGAATCTCAACGAGACTCTCCACTGATTGGGCCCCGATCCCAGAACCCTGAGATGATGACTTGAGCCGAAATCAAGAGTCTGATGCTTAACTGACTGAGCCACCCAGGCGACCCCCGAATAGACATTTTTCTAAAGGCATCCAGATGGCCAACAGACACATGAAAAGATGCTCAACATCACTAATCATCAGAGAAATGCAAATCAAAACCACAATGAGATATCACCTTACACCTGTCAGAATGGCTGCCAAAAAAATAACAAGTGTTGGCGAGGATGTGGAGGAAAAGGAACCCTTGTGCACGGTTGGTGGGAATGTAAATTGGTGTAGCCACTGTGGAAAACAGTATGGAGGTTCCTCAAAAAATTAAAAATAGAAATAGCATATGATCCAGTAATTCCACTACTGGTTTTTACCCAAAGAAAATGAAAACATTAATTCTAAAAGATATACGCACCCCTATGTTTATTGCAGCATTATTTATAATAGCCAAAATATGGAAGCAGCCCAAGTGTTCATTGACAGATGAATGGATGAAGAAGATGTGGTATATATATGACAGAATATTATTCAGCCATAAAAAAAGAGCAAGATCTTGCCATTTGTGATGACATGGATGAAACTAGAGGGTATAATGCTAAGTGATATAAGCCAGACAGAGAAAGACAAATACCATGTGATTTCATTTATATGTGGAATCTAAACAAAACAAAACAGACTCTTAAATACAGAGAACTGATGGTTGCCAGAGAAGAAGGGGTTTGGGGGGCAGGCGAGATAGACAAAGGGGATTAAGAGATACAAACTTCCAGTTATAAAATAAGTTATAGACATGAAAAGTCCAGCACAGGGAATATAGTCAACAACATTACAGTAACATTGTTTGGTGACCGATGGTGACTACACTTATTGTGGTGAGCATTAAGTAACGTATGAATCATTATGTTGTAAGCCTGAAACTAATATAACATTGTATGTGAATCATACTCCAAAAAAGGGGGGGCAGGCACTTTTTAGTATAAAGCAGCTGACTAGACAAGAGTTTGCACATTAATGCAAGGGTAGTGATGGTGAGAGACCACCTAACCTAAGCTGTAAGTAGGTGAATTGTTTAAAATTCTAACATCCTGCCAGCAAAACATTACCTTTTCATTCTCCTCTTTCCAACTTTGACATTCCAATCACCCCACCTGTACTCCTAAACTACCATGTGAACAAAGAACGCAAAAGACTCAAGAATCTATGAGTCTTTTCTTCCTTCACTTGGGATCCTATCTGTATGTAACGTTCTCATCAATGGCTGAAATAAGATTCTCCGCCTTGATCATAATTGCTAGTGCTCATTTGGAAATGGTACTACATTGAGCTTCCACAACTCATCATGCAGTAGGAATCCAGAATCAGTCAACATTTTGCTACAATAAAATCTGGAATGAAACATAGGTTTTTAGGTTAACAAATGCTTCAGATATTCATAAATTCACTGTCCCTTCCTGATTCAGAAATATCCTTTGCCTTATACAATTTTGAATTCAAACTTGCCTCCCACGAGACAATATTTATATCCTTACTTAAAACTCATATTGCTGAATATGTACTACTGATCAAGTAGAAACACAAGATTTCCAAACCTCCCCAAAAAGGCATGTTATTAATTTGTACTTAAATGCTTCAAAAAACAGAAGGATGCTATCTAGTTCTGGTGAGCTGTATATGTTTAATCTGTCAATGGGACCTACATTATCTGTTCATTTACTACAATTTTACCTAATCAACAATTTCAGGAGACAATTATAGAGTTAGCATGTTCCCTTAGATTTTCTATTGGACAACAAAATCATTAAAGTTTATTTTTGTTTCTCATTAAGTTGTTTGCCTCAGCAACAGCATCAAACAGATCCACTAACAATTCCATTAAACTGCCGGCCTTTGAGTAGCTAAAAGCTTATAACCGATTTTGAAAAATTTCACCAAATTTTCTTTTTTCAACCTGCCCAAAATTCAGTTTGTACATGACCTGCTTAATTTATAAGCTTCCCCATTCTCCTTGATTTTTTTCCATTTCTGAAAGATGCACTTTCCATGTAGTAGTCTCTTTGATACTGCAAGCTACTTGTTATCCCCACCCATCTCCAGTACCCACATGGAACAAATATATCTTTAGCTTCCCATACGGGCTTTTTTTGTTTTTTTAAATTTTTTTTATTTGACACACACAGAGAGAGAGAGTACAAGCAGGGGAAGTGGCAGGCAGCGGGAGAGGGAGAAGCAGACTCTCTGCTCAGCAGGGAGCCCAATGTGGGGCTCGATCCCAGTGTCCTGGGATCAAGACCTGAGCCGAAGGCAGACGCTTAACCGTCTGAGCCACCCAGGCACCCCCCATACGGGCTTTTAAAAATAATTTAGATTTCCAGTAGGCTGCAAATGCGTCTTGAATGCTTACATTTTATTATATACCTTCTCTAAAACTTGAGTACCATCATTATTAATTTCCTTGGTGTTCCCTTAGCAAGACACTATACTTTGTTGTGATTAGTATCACATAGTAGCTAACCCACCAGTTACCTCTTCCTACTTTTGGTGATGGTTCTTGTCTTTCTAGTACCTAGTGGCAAAAATACTCTCCAAAGCTCCGTGATAGGTTCACCTCTCTGTAAGTTGCTAAATTCAGTGGATTTGGAAAAATAAAAGGAACAAATCTTTCCATTTTTCTGATATAAACACAAAACAAATCTGAAAGTTGTAAGTATACCATTGATTAAAAAACACATAGTATGCACTCTTTGATAACACATTCTGGACTAGGAAGTGTATTTGTTAACTTTATAACAAGAGTTTTTGTTGTTGTAAGCAACAAAGATTAAATCCTAATCTCCTTAATTCATGTTTTAAAAGGATTTCACTGAAACAATCAACCCCTGGGAGAACACAGCTGTTCTATAATAAAATGGGTTCCTGAAAGTATGTAAACAAAGATTTAAACATCAAGTCACACTTTGCATTTTAAACAAGCTCTGAAGTGAATCCTAACTCATGATAGTTTCTGATTTTAAATCAAGGAATACCAAGTCGGACAAAGGAAAAGAGAAAGATTTTACACAATGTTTGCACTTCCCACTCCTTTATTTTGGGATGAAAACTTGTCATGCAGAACTCCAACATCTAGAGTCGGGGGAATCATGAAAACAACTTTTCCCGAGGAGAACCTCACCTCCCTGACTTCCGGAAGGATAGATATCCCTGCCCTGTTTACCAAGGCCTGAATCTTGGATAGATAATACCGAAGTTCTATCTTTCCCTTCACCATTTCACTAGCTTCTTAAACCTAAGTACACCAAATCTTTATTAGGACAGGTATTCTTTCCGGTTTGTTTGTTTGTTTTCGTGCAAGGGCAAAATCAAGCAAATACATGGTAAGCATCTCAAGCAATGCACTAGGAAACAACCTATATGAAGAAACTGATTTGGCCACCTGTTCATATCACTCTTCTTCAGAGTCTCTAAGAATATCAAGTCAGCTCCCTCTGCATCCCAATCAAATTTTAAGAATATTATAATATTAGAGAATATTAAGAATTTCCAAAGAATATTAAAATCTCCTAATCTTCCTACCTTTACTGCAAAATCCCAGTTTACTACTAGATCCGTATTTGCATTGCCTTCTCAAAACCCTGGCGCAGGATGGAGCTTTAAGTTCGATAGCAGCAAACGGGAGGAATGGCTACATTAACTTCACATGGATTTACAACTAACGGTAGATGATTTATACATGCCCCACAAAAGCAGCTCTGTGCACATGGGAACCTCACAGGTCCACCTCAGGAGGTTCATCAGACTGTGCTTGGATTTGAACTCTTCGGCTCTAAGTACACTGTTAACAAATTTAAGTCTTAGAAGTTACCATTACTACTAAAACATAACAGCAGAAACAAGCTTTCAGTGTGGAAATACTCTTAGCATGTCCAAAAGGGACATCTTACTGTGGAAAGTCAGGGGCAGATGCAAGAAGGCTTCTTACACACTTAAATCACAGAATCAGAGGGCTGGAAGGATTCTTAAGGGTTCTCTAAGGGCTCTCCGGTCCTGGCTACACATTAGAGTCACCAGTACAACTTTTAAAATGCAGATACCTAGGCCTCATCCCCAAAGTACTGATTCGGGACTTCTGAAATTAGGGCCCAGCAATAAGTTTTTGTTTTAAAGTATTCCAAACTACTTCTATGTAGTCATTTTGGCACCAGACTTGACATTGGCATTGGGAACCACCGAGCAGACATCTGAAATTTGTATCCTTGATTATAGGGAACTCATCACCCCTATTT